AGAATATTGACATTCCTGGTTTTCCAGCAGCTAATTTTGCCCCACCTATATTATCACCAAAAGTAGAGTTATCTAACCTCATAAGAGCCCTTCCCTAGCCCTATTCCATTCCCCTCTAGGCCCACATTGTATTGATGCTGCCTTTGGCTATACGATTCTTTCTGTTTAGAATGCCCTTTCCCTTCCATTCTGACCATCCAAATCCTACCTATACTTCTTGAGCAAGTTGCTTCATTTTTTTTTTTAACTTATGAATTGTTTATTTCTGGAAATTTTCCCCCTTTTTATTGAATTGATTGGGGTGGCACCGGTTAACAAAGTCATAGCTTCAGGTGCACAATTCCACAACTGCAGTCACTGTGGAGGGCAGTATGGAGCTTCCTCAAAAAAATTAAAATTGGAACTGCCTTATGACCCCGTGATTCCAATTCTGGGAATTGATCCAAAGAAACCCCGAAACACCAATTCAAAAGAATATATGCACCCCTGTGATCATTGCAGCATTATTTACAATAGCTTGATTTTTCTGTGCTCCCGTTTCCCTTACTGAAAAACGAGGGAAATAACAGTATATAGTGGATAGCATTGTTTTATTATATGAATTGATACATGTAAAGTGTATAGAGGGCTGAGCACACAGTAGGTCTTCAGTAAATGTTAGTTATATACTATATATTAGGTGGGAATGTTTGGATGGGTGAGAGAATCAAAGAAGAAAAAGAAAGTGAAGACGAGAGAAGAAAGCTGTTGGAACAACTTCTTAGAAGGTACAGGAGAGAATGGATCCTCTTCCACTTACTGTGTGACCTTAAGTACTTTACTTTCCCACGTCTCAACTTCCTTGCTATAAAATGGAGATGACAATAGTGCCTACCTCACGACATTATTGTGAGGATCAAACAAAACGATACATGAAACATACTTCCCCACGGGGAAGGACTTGGGGAGAAGGACAGAGAATAGCTTAAAAGAAATCTTGTGAGACCAAAAAGACTGAAAGTTGTTTTTTTTTAAATTCCAAGTGAATAATTTTCAGTTTCATGATAGAGTAGAACCTTGTGAAGTTTTCTTTAAAAGCTTAAATATTTTTCTAGTGCTAATAAATTTATTGTGATTTCTTATTCAAGTGCATTGAAAAGGCTTTTTATATTTAAGTAGTTTCAAATGTGTCCGAAACCTTTTTACTGTGTCCAGGTAATTGTATTATACAACAATGGTTAGTATGAAATTAAATTGTATCAGTTGACATGAATTCAGCAATAAGCTTACTAAGTTTTATCTTTAAAGAAACATCCTATCCAGCCCTGGCCAGTTTGGCTCAGTGGATAGAATGTCGACCTGCATTCTGAAGGGTCCCGGTTTCAATTCCAATCAAGGGCACACACCTCGGTTGCAGGAGGCAACCAATTGATGTGTTTCTCTCACATCAGTATTTCTCTCTGTCTTTCCCTCTCTCTAAAAATCAATGGAAGAATATCCTCGGGTGAGGATTTAAAAAAGAAAGAAAAAGAAGCATTCTATCCAAAACATAAAAACATAAACCATATTGATATTCTAAAGTAGAATTTTAAGTAAAATAATTGTTGATTACTTATTTTCTTTAAAAATGACTTTTACTCCCACTTCTAGGAATATATCCTAAGAATCCTGAAACACCAATCAGAAAGAATATATGCACCCCTATGTTCATAGATCTCTTACCCTTTGAGACAGCATGGAGGGGCCCGGAGATGCTAAGCAAAATAAGCCGGTCAGAGAAAGACAAGTATCACATCACATGATCTCAATCATATGTGGAATCTAATGAACAAATAAACTGATGGACAAAATAGATCCAGAGACATAGAAGCATGGAACAGACCGATGATTCTCAGAGGGAAGGCAGGAGTGAGGGGGCAGGAAGTGATCAACCAAAGAACTTGTATGCATAACCGTAGACATAGACAATAGGGTGGTGAAGGTCTGAAGGGGCGGGGGGTCAATGGGGAAACAAAAGGGGGAAATCTATAATATTTTAAACAATAAAGATTTAAAAAATGGCTTTTACTCGGTATAAAAGTCAAAATTTTTGTAAGGTCCTATATGATCAGGCCCTCTATATAGGTCCCTCTGACCACATGTCCTACGACTCTCTTCCTCTCCACTCCAGTGATACGCAGTAGATAAAAGCGTTTGCCTGCAGACTGAAGGGTCCCGGGTTCAATTCCCTGAACACATCAAGCCTTTGCACATTCTCTTTCCTGTGTCTACTACCCCAATCCCTCAGGCATTATGGCTGGCTCTCATTTCACTCAGGTATATTTTTAAATACCACCGTATAAGAGAAATTTTCTTTAACTGCACTATAGTAAATATATCTCCCCAATCCCAAATGCCTTCTATTCTTTCTCCCACCTTATCCCCACCCAACAAATACCTTTATTGTTTATTGGCTTTCCCCTCCACCAACACACCCTCATTAGATAAAATTCCCCAGTCTGTGCAGTGATGACACAGAGTAGATTCCTACTAAATATTTGTTCAATGAATTAATTAAAGAACATCATATCACAATGCACATTGTGTTGATACCTTTGTTTATCACAGCTCCTCGTCCTTGAAGGCTGAGCAACAACCAGGAAAGAACTCATACCAAAGTAAATGTACAAGTAAATGTACGGGCAAGCTGATCTAGTCTAGGCACGAACAGCCGAGGTCACCAGATACAGGCATTTGAGAAGGGAACTTGAGGGTCAAAATTACTTCTACTTCTACTCCCTACTACAGAGAAAGCACAAAATATCCTTTTTACAATTATCCTCCCGAAACCCTTTTGCCTCCAAATAGATAGAAATTCTCCGCAATCCCAGGAAGCAGAATGAATGACAGCAAACAATTTAAATCGCTCTGGGGAAGTCACTAGAAGTCCTTGGAAAGGATTTCTATTGCTTGCCTGTGAGCCGTTAGTGGGTTCACAACCCTTTCATTGTCCTAGGAAGAAAATAGCCATATTTCAGCAATGGTATTTTATGAGCGCTCCGAACTGCCTAGTTCCCATATCCTACAACTAGAAATTCTCCCAAAGGAAAACAAACCAATATGAACACAAAGGGACAATCAAACGTGAAAATGGAAGCATACCTGTTCCTAACATAGTCCATGCATACCAACTGCAGGAGGCTGGGTATGGCACCAACACATAGTTGCTTCTCCACCCTCCATGCAAGGGTGTGGATAGCAGACTTCAGTGGGTGTGACATGTACAAGTGGTTCTTGGCTCTGCGTCAAGACTGTACGCCCACTGACGAAAGTAAGGAAGAGTGCCAGTTGAATTTATGTTTCCTTTGTTTATAGGAACCCATAGGCCAGTGACTTTAGGGGGAAATACCTCTAAGTGAGGCTTTCTTTTTTATCTGAATCCAGTGGACTCAATGATACGGCCGCTCACAATAAGGTCACTTTGCGGTTTGGAAAATCAATTGAGGAGAGAGGGGATGGAGGAAGGTGCTTTACTTAAATGTTGCCTAGGAACCTAGAACTAACACATGCCCTTGATGGGAGTTGGCACTGGGATGCAATGAAACCCAACACATTAAAGGAGGGAGGAGCTCTGTGACTTGCATTTAATACCAGAGACAGCTGAACTGGTAAATTGCAGAGCACTGGGAGCTGTGGCATTCCATCCACTGAACAGAAACTTTCAGAGTGAAATGCTAGCCCTCAAACCTCAAACAACACGTTTTCATGTCTGTAACCTGTGGGATATCATTAGGCTCCACCCAGTCCTGCCACTCTCCCTGAGCAGAAAGATGAGAGAGACAAACACGGGAGAGAGGCCACTGGTCCATCCGAGACCCTTCTAACAAGTCTCCACCACACCAGTTCTTTATTTAACCTCAGAAGGGAGCTGGTGAAGCCCTTTTCCCCAGCACAATCTTCCTGACTGGACATGGACACGGGCAAGGCGAGTCATCCAAGCTGGCCTTAGCTTCCCTATTGAAGCAAACTACCGTTGGCCTTTTGCATGCCATTTAGCCTTGAGTTCTTATCTCTTCCAGCTGCATCTCCCAGCTACCTGGGCTTGGGCGTGTGCCTAGTACTACAGGGAAAACATAAGCGGGAACCATTGGAACTTTCACGTGATGGATGCTTGGTAAATGTTGGAATAAAATTCAACACACATCTCCATATCCTAAGAAGGAATCTTGGCCACCAATCTGTTAAGCAAGGAGTCGGTGACATCACTCGACATGGTCTTGACATAGTAATAGACACCGCTCAGCCGTGGGATCAGCCACAGGCAATGAATTTAGCATTCAAGAAATATTTGTAGAATGAATTCTTTTTTTTTTTCAAGTCATCTGCACTGCCATGGCACCTCTTAGGAAACAGAAAATTTTCCATCCACCTAAAACTGCTAAATTGACTGCAGTTAACTAATGTGCAACTTCAGGGTGCGCCTCCTGGTAATCAGCTGGATATCAGAACCAAGTGTGGAGGTTGGTATAGGGGAGAAAAAGCTATCCTTCCCATGCAAATATCCCCCAAACTCAGAGTGTCATAGTAAGGCGAGTCACTGCTGCCTTCTCGAAATTGAATTTCCAATAGATTTCCCTCAGTTGAACTAGTGCACTGTCCCTTTAAGAAGCCAGGCAAGATGGAGCCCTCCCAACTCACAGCTAGAGGCTTTAAGCAACCTGATAAGGATGCTGGAGTGTGACAAAAAGAAAGAACTCCTGGAGAGGGTAAGTCGAGGCTCTAATGATCTGAGGGGTAATCGAGGCACCAAACCATACAAACATCCAACTCTGAGCGCGCCTATGCCAGGGGTGGCAGCTCCCCTAGCGCCACCCCTCCTCCCCTTCCCTCCCTTTCTTACCCCACCCTGCTCCACCCTCAGGATCCTCCTTGAAAGAGTCTCCTTGTATAAGGTGGCTCCTTCGCCGCCCAGCGGAGACCCCAGTGAGGGGGGTAAAAGGAAGGGAAAATAAGGGTAGGTAGGCAAAATGAAAGGGACTTACTTTTGGATTCTGCGCCTCCGGAGGCATCCTCTCCTCCCAGCCTGGGGCCAGGGCCAACGGACGGGGCGGGGCTGGGGTTGAGCTGATGGACTCGGGGTCCTCACTCCCTCGTACTGCAAACCTAGTTCAGTGGCGAGTTAGAGGTAATGGGCACCGACCAGGGCCGGTGTACACTCGATTTGAATGATCTCCAAAGGAGACCGAAGGGTTGGAGAGAGTTGACCGTGGGTGGGAGTGGAGGTGAGCTCTAAAGCCCTCCTTTTCCTCCCTTTCTGACTAGCTTTCCCCGCCCGGCATTAGCGATAATCAGGGGCAATGGTTTTCTTTTTTCTTCCTTTTGGTTTCTCCCAGCTGCCGGTCCCAGACCCCACCCAGCGGCTCCACCCCATCCACTGCTACACATTCTGTCAATCACCAGCCCCTTTAAAGCTGCATCGCACAACTTGGGTTTTCGTCCGTCTTTGGCGGGCAGACAGAATGCCCGGGCGCCTGGCCTTTCCTGCAATTCCTCTGACCTTTCTGCTGAGTTTAGGAAGCTAAGCTTAGTTGCTAGTGGAGGCTCCCCCTCCCCCTCTGCCCCGAAGCTTTCACAGTCCGCTCCACCCAAAGTCCTTCCGGGCCGGCCAGGCCACGCCATACTCTACCCCATCTATTTTCTTTACTTTGTTTCTGGTTTTAAAAAAAAGAAAGAAAGAAAAGGGGGAAAAAAGTGGCTCCTTTGGCTCCAGATAGCCAAGAAAGTTTGTGCAGCGCCCTCTCTGGCGCCGCCCACTTCCTTACAGTTTCTGGACTGAAGTGGCTACAGCAGATCCCCTGCCTCTGGGGCCTCTTGGTTTGGCCTGACTCAGTATATTCAAGTCTTCTCTAAATCTCATCTGTGTTAAGTCTCCATATTTCGGACCAGAATAGGAGAAGAGGAGGGGAGGATTCCCAGAAACGTGTTTCATGCCTCTCACTCACCCCAAACAGCAGTCCCCCACCACCCCTCACTGCCTAAGTAGGCAGAGAAGGGCCTTGAAGTGCCCCCCACAATTAGGGGAACTCCAGATGATCCATCAGAAATCGTGTGCAATACCATTCTCCATTCCAGTGTATGGTAAAATACCTGGTTGCTCAGGGCAAAAATTCCTGAGCCATCCTCGACTCTGACTCTTCAAGAAATCCTGTTGGCTCTATCTTCAAAATCAGAATCTGACCACTTATCACCATTTCCGCTACCACCGCCCTGACCCCGCCACCATTTTTAGATGCAGCCCCTGCCTACCTCTTTGACTTAATTTATAAAAACCTTGTTCACTCTCTATTAGCCACACTGATCTTTTTTTCCCCAATATGCTGATCTGTCTGACCTCAGGGACTTTGCATTCCTTTCATTTCTATCTGGTTCTACCTATGGTGGGCTGCAATATTGTTTCAATCTCAGGGAAGCTTTCCCTGACCACCCAAATTAAAGTAACTCCCATGGCCCAGGTACTCTCTGTGACCTTATCCCATTTTGTTTTTTTTTTTATCACAACACTGATCACAGTCTAAAACAATCTCATATGTGCATTTGCTTCTGTGGTAAAGTCTCTCCCACTGGAGCAGTGGTTCTCCACCTTCTGGCCCTTTAAATACAGTTCCTCATGTTGTGACCCAACCATAAAATTATTTTCGTTGCTACTTCATCACTGTGATGTTGCTACTGTTATGAATCATAATGTACATATCTGATATGCAGGATGGTCTCAGGCGACCCCTGTGAAAGGGTCGTTCGACTGCCAAAGGGGTCGCGACCCAGAAGTTGAGAACCGCTGCCCTAGCCCATAAGCTCAGTAAGAGCAGAGTCTTCATCTGTTTGTTCTCTGCTCTAAACTCAGCATAAACAATGGCTGCCACATAGTAGGGGCTCAGTTAATATTCGTTGAAAGGATGATGGAAGGTGATATCTTCTAGGATATATGTGGGTGTTATCACTTTTTAATAAATATGTATATTAATATATGTTAATTTCAGAGGAAGGCAGAAGGAGAGAGAGAGAGAGAGAGAGAGAGAGAGAGAGAGAGAGAGAGAGAGAGAAAACACAGGAGAGAGAGAGAGAGAGAGAGAAACATCAATGATGAGAGAGAATCATTGATCAGCTGCCTCCTATACACCCTACACTGGGGATAAAGCCCACAACCCAGGCATGTGTCCTGACTGGGAATGGACACTTAACCACTGAGCTACACCAGCTGGGCTGTTTCCACACCTTCTTGCTGTTATAAATAGAAGGGTCTGTCCACCACATACTATTCCTAGATACCTGGTCCCCTCCCAAGAATTCCTCAGTTTGTTTAGGGCGATGGTGGTTCAATGATACCCTTGGCAACCACTGAGACATGTTAGCAAGCCACCCTGAGGGTGAGCCCAGGTGCTGGGCGTTTCCATCAGGTGTGCCACATTTCCTTTGGGGGCTGCCTGTTCTTATACAACCACTGAGCCACACCAGCCAGCCTGGGTGTTATCACTTTAACAAGAATCAAAGCAAAAAAGAAGGCAGCAAAGAGAGACACACCTATTATGAATCACTTGCCCCATCTATTCTCCCTTAGAACATCCATCTGGATACCTTGCCTGTAAGCTGAGTTAGCAATGGTATTTGGAGAAGTGACCCCAGAGCAATGTACTTTTATATTGGCTTTTAGGGCTTGCAGTTTATTGCTAGTGGTTGGCTTAAGTGTCCTTAGCTTTGTCAAGCGGTGCTCGGGAACATAGTTGTTGAGGACCTGGTCATCTGAACTAAGGGCAGCTTTGTCTCTAGATGTGTTTCTTACTTTGGAGTCAGAATATCTGCATATGCTCTCTCATACCTCCAAGGATGCATTAACTAATTTGATTCTCACAACCTCCCTATGAAGTAGGTATTATTATTATCCTCATTTTACAGGTGAGAAAACAAAAGCCCAAGGAGAGAGAATGACTTGCCAAAAATCACCTCCTTGGGAAATGGTAAAGCTGGAATTTGAACCCAGGTAGTATAGCTCCAGATAGAAACACTTTCCCACTACAGTGTGTTTCCTAAAGTAAATTGATGTTCGGTCATGACACTGGGAAGAGCAGACACCCCGTTTTGCTGGATGTTATTTGGTTAAAGATGAAGGGAAGCAGCTGTAATTAGGGACGTTTGTTACCTAAAGCCAGAAGTGTGGTTTGAGCAATTCTGTAAGCAATGACCTTGATACAAGTCATATGAGGCAGTCATTTCCCTTTTCCAATGGAAGGATCTAGGGCTGTTTAGCCTCAAGAAGAGAAAACTCCAGAGGATAAAAACCCTCTGTTTTTAAGTCTGTCTTAAGCTGTCATTGACATGTCCTTGATTATTTATCCATTGTGTGTCCTAACTCAGCTGTCTGCCTGATCATAAAACCTACTCAGCTTGACCAAATTCTCTGGACTTCTGGCCATGGATGACAGATAACTCTTGCTAGGTTGCTACCAATACCTGAGCATGATATCATGGGGATGTTTGAAAGGTACCAGTGCTGAGCACTGTGGAGCATAGGCAGAGAAAAGTCCCACAGAATTAAAGGTCAGAAATTTCCTGTAACCCACTACTACCACTTATTTGCTGTGTGACTGTATGTAAGACTGCATGCAAGGGCCTCATATTTCTCATCGTACAGTGAGGTTGAATCAATGGTTACCATAGGCTCCTTCTAGCTCAGACATTCTCTGTTGGTTAGCTTACTGATGTCAGAAAGTTCTTATGACAGGAAAAGGCTTGGGATATTAATAATGCATTCCCTCAATCTTATTCCTATTGATTAGATTTTAGTAGACATCACACAGGATGTAGTAGATTTCTGATTAACAAGAATTTACCTTCTTTGGAAGTGATTTGAAACCATAGGTTGTTCTGTAATGGGCATGTCTGATGTCTGTGATATGTAAACCTTCCCTATTGGTGATAAAAACTAATTCCAAGGGAAGATCCCTGACCCAACTGAGACAGTCAATTTCTCTCTCCCAAGCACATGGCATTTTGAATGGAAACAGTTTGGGGTTATGGGAGATGAAGGGGAGTCACATTAAAGCTGGAGAGAAGATCCATAAATTGCTCTTGCATCCAGTGCTGACCTTTCTCCTGCCCTTTCTGAGTCAACTCTGAGATGTCCCACTATATTTTTTATTTACCTTTATTGTGGAGAGATGTCCCTCCTTTATCTCCATTGTCCCCTTTCCCCCAGTTCCCGCTCCACCCCAGGCGCTCAGCACTATCTTTTCAATAAATTCTCTATTTCCCTAACTTTTTGTTAACTTTTATTACTTAGGCTAGCCAGAGTCTACTTCCTTTTTACTGCTATATAATTGTTACTTGCCTGTCAAAAATTGATATTCAATAATTTTCATAACAGGTATTTTTTTCCAATATGTTTTGATTGATTTTTAGAGAGAGAGGAAGGAAGAAGGAAAGAGAGATAGAAACATCGATGAGAAACATTGATCAGCTGCCTCCTGCACATCCCCTACTGGGGATCTAGCCTGAAACCAGAGCATGTGCCCTGACTGGGAATCAAACTGGGACCTCCTGATTCATAGGTCTACACTCAACCACTGAGCCACACCGGCCACACCTGACAGGTATTTATTGAGCCCAACTTTTTTCCAGGCACATAGTGAGTGTATAGCAGTAAATAAGATTTAACAAGCTTTCCCCCACCAAGTCATTGGTTCAGACCTAACCCAAATCCTCACTTTTTTATGCCTCCATTACTTACATGTTGTCTTAGAACATAGCTATATAGATGTTATTTTACTAGATTGTAAAAGCTCCTTGGGGTTATGTTCTTTGTCTTTTTTATCTTCACATCTCTTGCAGTGACTACAACAGAGCTTTACCCATAATATACACTCCAGGCATGTTGAAATGAACTCAGCTCTGCAGTGCACATTGGACCTGTCAGTCATGTAGCAAACCAGAAAACCTCCCAGATATGAAAAGAGCTGTGATGTAATGGAAAGAAGACTGGATTTTGAATAAGACTCCCAGTTCCAAGTTTGTCATTCCCCAGCTGTTTTACTTGAGGCAAGTCACCTAACCTCTCTGAGCTTTAGAAACACAGGAGACAATAATAATATTTTTCTCAAGTTCCTCTGTCTCCTTATCCTCTCCAACACTTGTTATTTCTTATCTCTTTTTATGATGGCCATTATGACATCTCATTGTGCTTTTGATTTGCATTTCCCTAATAATTAATTGGTGATGTTGAACATCCTTTCATGTGCCTGTTGGCCATCTGTATTCAAAAATATATATGCACATCTGTATTCATTGCAGCATTTTTTATAATATCCAAGATATGGAAACAACCTAAATGTCCACAGACAGATAAATGGCTAAAGCAGATATAGCAGCCCTGTCTGGGTGGCTCAGTTGGTTGGAGCATCATCTAATACACCAAAAGGTTATGGGTTCCATTCCCGGTCAGGGCACATACCTGGGTTGTAGGTTTTATCCCCAGCCAGGGTGCGTATGGGAGGCAACCAAAATCTCTCTCTCTCTCTTCCCCCCTCTCTACCATATATATACAGTGCAATACTAGTCAGCCATAAAAAT